CTTCAAAGCATTACAGGTATACCTTACGCAGAATTTCTTAGTTATTCATTACTGTCATCTTTATCCAGTTCTGCATCTTTATTATCTATATTGATTCAAAATTTCATAAAGCTTTATGCATGACAGAAGTTTTAAAAATAAGTCTAATAAATTACATTTTTAGCAAGCATGATGCTGCCATTTTCTTCACTAAATTTGGATCTCTCTGTGGATGTCCAATACCATGAGTTTCTTTAGCTTGAGTATTCCTGTAGGCATGTTTTCATAGCACCTTTTTACACTCTCAGATTCTTGCTTCTGAGTGCATGATTAAACACCTACAAAATCAGCATCTTTATATCTGAAGTACATGCTCATTTATTCACATGACAATTCTCACATTCAAGTGAGAACTGTTTTAAAACTGCTCATTATTGAAGCACAGTGACCTCCTCTTTATGCTTTTTGTTCAGCAAAATCTACTGTCTTCTCCATTATAACTACATGTCAAATTAAATTATAGAATTACCATTAATGCTTTTAGTTTGTTGACACCTATATCCTTTCTCTTCTTAATCATCCTTTCTCTTATTATGCATGCTACTCCATAAGTAATGCCTCCTAGAGTAATGCCTCTTATTTTCATGGAAACTACAACAGATATAATAACACTGTTTGATAGAGCAAATTCTCAGCTACAAAACACAGTTTTTCAACACAGTCACAGCCATTGGTTATGCATTTTTACCAGAGATGAGCAACAGCCTGCATGTCACACTAATAAAAGTCTGCACAGCAGAGGTGACCCACTGTTGCTGTCACCACTGCAGAAACACACCACCCACGGCCTCATTGTGCCACTGTTTGGTCTCCATAAACATTCAGCAAGCATCGATGAATGTCAGTGGATGCAGTATTTTCTGTATGAAAGAACTCATTTACATGTTTTTGGTTTGTATGCAATTCGGTGTTAGACGCCATTTTGTCAGACTGCCCCTCTGCTGTCTCAGTCACAGGGTAACCAAATCAAAGAATCATAGAATGGCCTGAGTTGAAAGGGACCACAATGATCATCTAGTTTCAACCCCCCTGCTACTTGCAGGGTCGCCAACCACTAGACCAGGCTGCCCAGAGCCACATCCAGCCTGGCCTTATGAACGCATAGAGAGATGGGGCATCCACAACATCCTTGGGCAACACGTTCTTGTGAGTCACCACCCTCTGTGTGAAAAACATCCTCCTAGCATCTAACCTAGACCTCCTCTGCCTCAGTTTAAAATCATTTTCCCTTGTCCTATCACTATCCACCCTTGCAAACAGCCACTCCTCCTCCTGTTGATATGCTCCCTTCAGGTACTGGAAAGCCACAATTAGTCTCCTTAGAGCCTTCTCCAAACTAAACAAGCCCAGCTCCCTCAACCTTTCCTTATAGGAGAGGTGTTCCAGCCCTCTGATTATCCTATCCTATCCTATCCTCTGGCCCATGAGCAACCAATAAATTAAACTACAATTTACCAGTATTTCCAATCCACCAATTCTTGTTGGGGTACAGGGCACAACATATAAATGGTTTGATGTAAAACATGTGAAAACCAACCAAAGAATTAGGCCACTATCAACAAGGTTCGCAATGGGAAGAAGGAAAAAAGAGGGTTAATCAAATTTGACCAATTTGGGTACCTACTACAAAGTCCTTTTCTCTTAACAGTTTTTTATTACTTGGGAGATTCGTTAAAAGAATATATATCTCTAGGCCATTTTTCCTAAAAAGAGTGAGCAGAAATCTTTTTCTTTTTCTTTTTCTTTTCTTTTTTTTTTTTTTTTTTGCCAGAACATAACTGTGAATTTAAGTAGTTTGCAATGCATTTAGAAACTGTCATGGTTCTATGTTTTTTTGTTTTTGTTTTTTGTTTTTGAGTTTCAGTATTCCACATCAAAACATCATGCAGTGTACGGGGCATTAAAGTGTCACTGCCCCAATTCCAAGTTCCTATCCCTGTACATTACAGCAGTCACGGGATCTGGCCCTTCCGAGTGGGGCGCTCTCTTGCTGCCTTGCAGTGGGTGCTGGAGGTGCTTTCCTAGCCGTTCCAAGCTTTTCAGGTTTGAATCAGTCCTGGGGGCTCTCTCTCTCTCATCTTGTCTGATTTATTAATCTCAATTTCAATTAAATTGTATATATTGTGTTATCTTGTATTCCAATATTATAGTAAAATAAGTTTTCCTCCACAGATTGTTGCCGCTGCTCTTTTCCTCCCTTCCTTCCTTCCCATTTTTTTTGTGGGACTGGGTGGAGGGGGAGGGCAGAGGCCTGTCGCCCCTGTCACGGACATAGATTGATCTGGTCAACTCTGTGACAGAAACACAACAAGAAACTTTCACAAATCTTACACAACAGAGATATAAAGACTATCCTCTTTTATTTCTTAACCTAACTAAACAGATGAAGAAGAAAAAGCCATGAGCACTTTCAAGCAAAGCTGCTAAAGTTATTCAAGCTCTGTGCGGTTATTAATCTGGGTAAGTTGAAAGAGGTGAAGAGTGCAGCAATATGTCATTTCATAAATAAAAATAAATGCAATACAGTACGTTCTAGTGTATAACAGACTTGACAGTTTATCCTTATTAATTATTAACTTGGTTACACTTCATGGGTAAGGAAGGAAACTTAAGATATCAAAATGTTTCTCTTCAGTAACTAAGAGATATTTATTTTCACATATTTGTTCACATGTTCATGTCAATGACCTGTATACATAGTCTAAGACATCGCTGACTAATAAACTAATGTTTTTGTTGTAATTGTTCGTGCTGTGTATATGTGAGCAAGGTGCCTAGACCTACAAAAAAGAATCATTTTTATTTTTCCTGGGAGGAAGAGAAAGTTCACATGGTACAAGTCTACATAACCCATAGAATTAATCACATTATGTAACAGGAATCTAAACCGTAATTTAAAAGATATTTGTGTTCACTTTGTCATGCGGTAGTCTAGAATACGTCCTTTACCTCACTGGCATATGTCAAAATTACTTGCAAGGAAACATGAAGATAAGAAACTCTGAAAGACTAAGAAAAACAGTTTCATCTTTTTTTCTAGGAAAAACGATTTATTCATGAAGTATATGTAGTGACAACAGATACTTCTCCAGTATAGCTTTTTTTGGTTTAGTTCTTCTTCACTGTACACTGACAAAATACTTTATAGTTGTGAATGTGCTCTGAATAAGATTAAGAGAGCTTTCTAGATTTCTTTTGATGATAGAGAACTGTTTATACATTTTCATACCTGAAATTAACTGCAAGACGCTAGTGAAAAATCAGGTATATATACTAAATTAATGTATCGTTTAGTTGCAAAAAATGCTTATATACTGAAATGTGAAGAAATTAAGTAGTGTTAAAATGCATATAAAACTACACAGAACACACTGAAGAGCTGAGACTTCAACCATTAGACAAAAATAATGTGAGACTCTTTCAGTTACAATCTGTAATAATTTTTTCTTTTTTTCTTCATAATTGCTTGCTAGTCTGTAGTAGAAAGCTGATAAAGGACTGAATCACTTTGTTGGGTGATCTCTATATATTCACTGAGTGACATCTGAAGTACATTTAGAAAAAAAATGTTACAATATAATGACATTTATATTTATCTAAGTAACTGAAGAAAACCTATACAACAAAGTTAAGATGAAACCAAATAAAAAGCTATCAACTACTCACATCAAATGATTAACTGAAGTCTTAATACATTAATCAAGGATTAATTCTATCTAAGAATTACAACAGGGTAAAGAAAATAGGCAAATAGGCAATTTTCCTCTCTCCTCTCCGCTCCTGTCTCTTTTTTTTTTTTTTTTTTTTTTTTTAAGCTCTGAATACTGAAGGCAAAACTGAGACCCTAGGGAGTTTGCAGTCCAGTTGTGAAAGAAATCAATACTTAAAATGCAAAGTAGAAATTTTTCTTCCCTAGAAAGTAGGAGTTTATGTCCTGAATTTCTTGTTCTGTTCAATACTGAACTTAATCAAAGCTAAAACAGAAAGCCTAATATTGGTTTGCAACTAGAAGTACAGCTGCAGTGACAAACTAAATAAAACAATAACAAAACAGTTAATTACTGTTTGAATTCTCTGTTTCTCTGAAGGGCTTTTAAAGCTGTAGTGCTTTATGAATGAGGAGTCAGAACATTCCAACTTAATGGTAAGAGTTTCTTCAACTTTTATTCCTGAATTCATAATATGTTAGTATAACAAATTTTTGGTAGCTCACAAGTGCATCAGCAGTGCATGAAGCAGACTGAAGCTGAGTGCTTCAAAGTGCTTCAAAGAAACAAATAAACTTTTTTTCCCAACACTTTCCTAGCAACACATGTTTTTTTTTTTTTCTAAAATACTACTTTCTAAAGGTGGATTTCAGGCATTCTGTACGTTGTCTTATTTCTGGCAAATTCTCATGCAGTGTAATTGATAAGCTTGCAGGTGATGATATGCAGTGTAGTTTTGCAGTGTAGTATCCCTCTCCCACATTTCACCACAAAGCTTTTAATTCCAGAATTCAGAATGTCCCAGATGCACAGAATATTTTGTGACATCCATCCCATGTGGGCAGATGTTCCCAAACAGATTTCTCTGTTATGAAGGAAATTCCCTTGGGTTTAGCACTGTCAGACTGCATTAAGAGCCCACATAAAAGGTAAGAAACAGATGTGCAGTACTATTTCAGTTTGACACGCTGTTTGTCTAGCCTATGTTTTCTACTGCTACAGCAACACTGAGCCAAGATGCTAATGAATGGAGCCTGCAGAATAAATCGTTAACCTGTAACCTCATCCAGTCAGCATGCAGTCTATTAAGTTTGTACTCCTGTGATTCATGCTCTTGTGTTCACTGCTACTGCTGCATTTGTTTCCATGTATCTTTCTCCCAGTATTACATAGTGTCATACAAGCCAAAATAGCAAGGTGCTGGAGAGGGAGAAGCAGGGGCTGTGAAAGACAATTAGCGACCTGCCGACTTACTTGCATGAGGATGACTGAAGCATCCCTTTCCCTGTGTCTCTTCACACTGATAGCCCCAGAGCACATCTGCGTCACATAGAAGGGAGGGGGCAGCTTGGCGAGAGGCACTGAGACACATAGAAAATTACATAGTGAGGACCTTGACAGACTCACAGATTCTCTTCCCCCCCTCCCCAGTCCCCCCGCCTCCTACATACAGCATATATAAAGGAACCCTGCTTTAACCCTGTGCCAGCTCTCTGGCTTTGCTATCCCAGATAACTGCAGCCATAGGACTCCCCTGAGAAATGGGATGGGAAGGCGGGAGGTGGAGAGAGGCTTCCAGGTGACTTCTCCTCCTCCAGCAACGCCCGGGCACGGAGCTCCAGGAGGCAGAGGAAGAGCCACCTGCCTCCTGCTGTGGCTGCCGCTGCCGGTCCTCTCCGGCCGCCGGCTCCGCTTGCCCCTCCGTTCATCAAATTACCGCTTCTTTACAGCCTCTCACCCGCTCTTCTCTCGCAAGTGCCTGTCTCCCCTGAGAGGTGTCTCTCATTTCTGCCTCTCTCTCCACCCCTTTCCACTGATCACCGTGCAATTCTCGTCAGCTCTGGGCATCTCTTCCTCTCCCTTCCCTGTGCTGGGTGTCTCTACCTCCTCTCGGCTCTGTGCATCGCTCCATCCATCCATCCTCCCTCTCTCTCCGCACTGGTGTGTGCGCGCATTTCCCTCCAGCAGCCGGCTGCCAGCCCTCGCCCTGCAGCGCTGCCCGGAGCAGCCGCCGCCGCCGCCCGGCCCTGCCCGGCCGCCGTGAGTCCCGCCTCAGCCCGCGTCCTCCGCCCGCCTCGGCACCATGTCCGGCTCCGGCAGGAAAGACTTCGACGTGAAACATATCCTTCGCCTCCGCTGGAAACTGTTCAGCCACCCCTCGCCGGCGGGCGGCCCGGCGGGGGGGGGCTGCTTGCCGCCCGACAGCAGCTTCGAGCACTGGGGGCCCAGCCAGAGCCGCCTGCTGAAGAGCCAGGAGAGAGGAAACGGCGCCTTCTGGAAGAAATCCGCCTCCTCCGCCTCCTCCTCGGCGGCCACCACCGCCAGTCCGCCCAACGGGACGCTGCTGCCCGCCGGCGGCCGGCCCCGCGGGGGGCACGGCCCGGGGCCTCCGCCGCCCCGCACCGTCTTCTACGTGGAGTCCCTGGAGGAAGAAGAGGAGGAGGCGGAGGCGGCGCCCGGCAGGATGGAGGTCGCCCGGGAACCCGAGAAGCCCCTGGCGCCGCCGGAGCAGAAGGAAGCGCCGAGGGGCTGCGCGGACGGCGGGTGTCCTGCAACAGGTGACGGAGGAGGGCACAGGTAGGAAAAGCCGTTGGCTCGCCCTGCGCGGGCCGGGAGGATAGGGAGGCCGTGCCCCTGCCGCGCGGCTGGGAGGAGCTACGGGAGCGGGGCTCGGGGAGGAAAGTTTGCTGGGAGCTGGGGTACGGGGCTCATCCGTTTCAGACGCCACTGTTTGTGGGAGAGGAGCGGGAGGGCGGCCCCGGCTTCCCGGGGGAACGTGGCCTGCTGCGCCGCCAGCTGTGGCCACCCAACTTTAGGGGAAGTTAACCGAAATGCGAGGGTGAGGCGGTGATGTTCTGCGCGCTGAGGTGTCAGGTGACCGCTGAAAAAGCGACGTCTCCTCTCTGGGAACTCTGCCTCTAAATGGTGTTAGAGAAAAGAATTTAAGAGTCATGAACTGAGCGATGCCTAAAAAAGCCCATACGAACCGGCCAGTCACAGGCAGGTTCTGATAGCTTCACATGGAATGTCTTTGAATGTTGAACCTTTTCTTTTCTTCTCAGTCTCACTCCCAACACAAACAGACATTAAAGTTATTAGGAGAGGGAAATGTAGCTCTGACAGAGCTTCCAGAAGTACTGTCTTATGAGGATGAGAAGCTCTTTGTTGATTTAATTCTGACTGCTCAAACTCCCGATGGTTAAAGTAAATTTATTTCTAGCTCCCTTATCATTTACTACTTCTTCTGTGGCAAGTAAACATACAGGTCTGTTTCTAAATAGAAAAGAGACATCTAGCATTCTTGTGGCATAACTTAACATCTTACTGAAAGTAAAATATATCAAATACTTAGTTTAGATAAAGAGATAACTGCATTTTTTAGATTAACATAGCTGCACATATACATCAAATTCTAGCTTTTTTCTCATAGTACAAATTACAGAAGTGGAGAATATATTCTAAAGCATACATTCTCTGCTTTAAGCTCTTAATTGTGTTAGCAGTGGAGTTCTTTTCATAGTAAATGAATGTCGAATAGCTGTTGAATGTTGAACGGCAGTATATGATATTAGGTAAAAGATCAGAGATGCTATGAATTCTATAAACATCGGAAGTTATTCTAACTAAGAATCATAGAATCATAGGATGGCTTACATTGAAAGGGAACTCAAAGATCATTAGAGGATAGGATTTGATAGAAAATATTAAGATAATGGAGGTAAGACAAAAGGTTTACTCTCCAGGGTTTCTGAACAGAATAGTTTAAAAACTGCTGCAAATCCAATACTGTTGTATAGATGGTATATTTTGTGCACTGCTGAGCATCTTCAGAGATCTTACACACTGGCTGATGCTTACAGGGTTTTGATGGCACCACTTAATTTATATGAACTTCCTCATAGAATTGTCAAGGTTGGAAAAGACCCCAAGATCATCCAGTGCAACCGTCCACCTATCACCAATAAATCATCACATCACTTAAGTACTCTGTGATACATATCTAATTTACTCCTTTTGGGATTTTATAGCCTATTCCTTTCATGTTTTTCATTTATTGATAGTGTTAACAACATCTAGTAATCAGTAGATACTAGGCTTGTTGAAGTCATATGCTAAAGTTTGCCAGAATTCAAAATAATGTAGATATCATTGTATTATTAATGAAAATGCCCCTTTGAAATATGAAAATGTTTAAGATGTTTTATAGTTTGAGACTTCATTTTTGTTTTTCTGTCCTAGACCTTTTGGTTTATCCATATCAATTTTGAATGTTCTGAAAAGAGATGATCAAATACTGCAAAAATGTTAGTGGTGTTATTGATTACCCAGTGCCTGATTCCATGGTCCAAAAATCTTCCTATGCCTCAACATCTGCTCTTTGTTTTTGTAGAAATTATCTCTTTGTAAATGATGCAAACTTTTGTACTTCATTATGGAGATACATAGTTGTGCACACATATATAACTGCACTTCAGTCCTGAATGATAGATGCTACCAGATATGTAAACAGCCATACATTCTTAACTCTCAGCAAGCCTTAAGGCTAATATTTTCTTGGTACAGTGAGTATAAAATTGCTAGCTCATGGCTCCCTTTGGTATTTTGTCCTGAACACAGAATCACAGAACGAGATAATTGCAGAGCCACGGAATCATAGAATGACTTGGATTGGAAGGGACTGTGGGGTAGATCAGGCCACCCAGAGCTTCATCCATCCAAGATTTGAATCCCTCTAGAGATGGGACATCCGCAGCTTCTCTGAACTTGTTCCAGTGCCTTATTACCATCTGAGAAAACAACTTCCTCCCAATATCTTAATCTTGCCTTTTAGTTTCAAACCCTGGTCATATCACTACATATTTTACAGCTATTTTAAAACATTAGAACTGTTGGGAAACATTTTTGTATTGTGAAATCAATGAGAATTCATCATGAAACATACCCACAATGTTTCAAATGTAGAGAACAGGAGATCTCCAGGAGTGTGGCGTTGGTAGTATGTTATGTGAGAAGCAAGTCAACAAGGAAGTTTTGGTTTTATGCTCCATATTAATATATTTGTTACTACTTTTTTTTTTTTTTTTTTTTTTTCTTCCCATTTTTTTTCCTTGGAACTTGTATCCCCAAACCTTTCTTTCTAGTTGTTTCCTTCCGCTCAATACCCAAAATCTGTTCTGGAATTCTTTTTCCTGATAATAATACATGTATTTACAGAACTTCTCTGTTGGGGCTATTTATGGATTTGTAGCTACAGTATTTTCACATATCTAAGTTAAATACCTTACTTGTAATATTCTGGAGTATATTATGGAATTTATGTCATAGGATAGAGAGGTTGAGTTCTGTTTTATTAATTTGCTTTGGTACATTTCTAAAGAACATCCTGTTGGGTTAATTGTACAGATATTTTTTGTGTGTAAGTAGGGTTACATGGATAGTTCCACTGGCCTTAGGAAGACCTTACATCATTATTCATGATATAAAATACTGAAATAAGTGCTCTACATTCCATATTGTTTTGTAAAAATAAAATAAAATAAAATATTTTACAGCGAGTTTAGTGTTAAGACACTGTTTGTTTGAAATCTCTCAAAAGCCTACATATCAAATTGTTTTACAGCTTGCATGTCAAATTTCAAAATGACTGTGTAAGATATCACAGATTCTATTTTCATCTTAATTATATAAGAAAAAGCTGTCAGAAAAACAATCTATACAGTGGATTTGCAATTAAGATTTAAAATCAACTCAAAAAATCTTGAAAAATACAAGTTCTAAGATTTCTCCTGTGTGTTATAATGGAGTTTTTGCGTGATCATGTTTGCTTTTTCTACATGACCTATCAACCAACTCACAAGACGAACAGCACTCACTTAATAAGCCATGTTTTATTCTTTCCTTGCTCACTGAATTATAGAATGCTTTACTTGTTTTAAAACTATCCAAACCTTTACTTTGATGACATAATTACTCATGAGCTCTCAATATTGTTCCATTTATGGGATTTCCCAACTTTGAAGTCTTTGGCTTTGCTTACCTCAATTTCCACCCCTCCCCCCCCAAGATTTGTTTGTTGGTTTGGCTTTAGGAAAGAATGGAAATGGAAGAGAAATTGTGTTGTTAATTTGTCTTCCCTGGGATGCAGGACTGAAACTTCAGGATTCAGTGTCACTTGAATGGGTAGAATAACTAATGACAAAAGGAGGTTCACAGCTGTGTGGATAATTATAAGGATGATTATGTGTGGTCTGTGCAAAAGATCTGGAGATATGGCAGCTGAAGTGAAAGCGGTCTGTAGAACCTTCTGCTTTGAGATTCACATGGCAAGCACACACACACTTTTCTTCTTGTTCCCAAACTTAGTTCCATTAATTCCATCCTTTCTAAACTCCTTTTGTCTTACTATTTATTCTTTTGGATCTTATCCTAGCCATGCTCTTCTTTGCACAGTCTCAATCTTTCGTGACTATATGATTTAAATCCTGGGCTTTTCACACAGAGAGTCTCACTTGATTTTCCTCACTTTTTATGATTTCCTCTGCTATAGGACTGTCCGTTCTTTGTTATATTTTGTCCCAGATGCTTACACAAGTCAAGTCCAGCTGTCCTGTAATTGCTTAAAAACTGTTCATACCTCTCATCTTCTCGTACTTTTTCCTACTCTGTATTTCAGTATCCTTCAGAGCTTCCTCCACCTCAATTCTAATGGAATTTTTACACAGAATTTCCATTCCTGTGTTCCTTCTCTAGTGTCCACTTTTGCCCTGTTCTTCTGATTTCTTTCCTGAATTGCTGCCAAGTTGATGGTACCATCTGCTATATCTAATGGTCAGTAAGACCCCTAAATATCAGTAATTCGATGACACAGTTTTATCTTATTTCTTTCTTAGATACCCATTTTAGAATAAGATAAATTTTCATCCAGACATGCCTATTTTCCTTCACTGAGTGTAACAGTAGTCTAGAGTGACTAATTTATATTAAATGTTTGATTTAATGTTTAATATTCAGTTAAATATGGAAGAAAAAAAAAATAGATAATCTGAAGTCTACGTTGCAAATTCAAATTATTCTAAATTAATGATATCTTGGTAGATTTTTATAGTGTGAGTAAAGAGCCAT